GTTGTGACCTGTATCGGAGACCCCTTTTACAAGATCACATCAGAAGCTCTGCTGGTAACTCAGCAGCTTGTGAAAGTTATCAGGCCTTTGGACAAAGCTTACAGCTTTGATGCCAAGCCCTATGTGAAGGACCTTTTCCCCGGCACTCTGAAGCGGCTGAAGGCAGCTGACATCGACCAGGAGGTGAAGGAACGTGCCATCTCCTGCATGGGACAAATCATTTACAGCTTGGGAGACCATTTAAGCACTGACCTCCAGCCAACCTTGAAGATATTTCTGGAGAGGCTCAAAAATGAAATCACCAGACTGACAACAGTCAAAGCATTAACCTTAATTGCTAGTTCTCCACTTAAAATAGATTTGAGACCCATCCTAGGGGAAGGTCTCCCCATTCTAGCTTCCTTCTTGAGAAAGAATCAACGTGCCTTGAAACTGAGCACTCTGAATGCTCTGGACATTCTGGTGAAGAACTACAGTGACAGCCTCAAGCCTGCCATGATTGAGCCTGTGCTAACAGAGCTCCCCATCTTAATTACGGAGAATGACATGCACGTGTCCCAGGTGACCGTCGTGTTCCTCACGACTTTGGCCAAGGTTTATCCATCCTGTGTCTCCAAGATCAGTGGCTCCGTCCTTGCTGAAATCTTTCAGCTTGTCCACTCACCTTTGCTTCAAGGAGGGGCCCTGAAGGCCATCATTGACTTCTTCCAGGCGCTGGTGCTGACAAAGACGGCTGCGGTGGGTTACCCGGAGCTGATGAAGCAGCTGACAGCACCGGTTTACTCCTCGGGCTCGGCCGGGGCCTCGCTGACCTTGCACAAACAGGCGTATCACTCCATCGCAAAGTGTGTGGCAGCCCTGTCCTCAGCCTGCCCAAAGGAAGCCCCTGCCACAGTGAACCAGTTTGTCCAGGATGTGAAAAGTCCCAAGTCCAGCCCTGCCGTTCAAGTGCTGGCTTTCCTGTTCCTGGCAGAGGTGGGCCGCAGCACGAACCTCAGCGCTCAGAGGGAGCTCAGAAGCGTCATCCTGGAGGCGTTCTCTTCCCCCAGCGAAGAGGTGAAATCCGCCGCCGCCTACGCGCTGGGGAACGTCAGCGCTGGGAACCTGAAGGAGTATCTGCCCTTCGTGCTGCAGGAGATCGGCAGCCAGCCCAAGCGGCAGTACCTGCTGCTGCACTCCCTGAAGGAAGTGATCAGCTGCTCCCCGGCTGACAGCCTCACGCCCTACGTGGAGGACATCTGGGCTCTGCTCTTCAAGCACTGTGAGTGCACAGAGGAAGGGACACGCAACGTGGTGGCGGAATGCCTGGGGAAGCTGACTTTGGTGAACCCTGCTGAGCTGCTGCCCCGGCTGAGGAAACAGCTGTCAGCAGGTAATGGGTAGGGCAATGACCAGAGCAGGGAAGTGCTGCCTTTTGATGGAAATTCGTTTTGTAAACTGCTTGTGGGTACAACGGGGAGCAAAGCTAGTTGAGAGGAGAGCAGGTAATAAGATGGATCTCTCTGCAAGGGGGATCAGAGGAGCACTGATCCACACAAGAGTAGGAGGGAGTTGGGAACAGGGACTACACAAGGAGATTTTGCGGGAGCAGATTCAAACACAGAGTTGGTAAGAATCCTCTAGTCCCTTATAACACACGTGTAACAGGACCAAGGGCAGAACATGCACTACAGAGTTACAGCAGTGATGTTCTCTCTTGATTTTTCACTTTTTTCTTGCCCTCTTCACTGCAGGCTCCCCACATGCCCGGAGCACCGTGGTTACTGCCATCAAGTTCACGATTACAGACCAGCCGCAGCCCATCGATGCTCTCCTGAAAGGCTGCATAGGTAGGCTGGTTTGGACAGGGGTGTGAGCTGGGGGCATGAGAGGCTGGGTGTTGTTAGCAGCTCAGGGATTTCCCATTCCTGCGTGAACCACATGGAGTCAGTTAGTTTTTATCAGTGTTTCTCAGCTTTTGGGATTAAACAGCAGCACTGTACTGTGAGTCCTTGCTAACTGCAAGAGCAACTGATGTGTTGCTCTTGGGCATGTTCCATTGTTTTTTAGAGTGCTTAAGTTCTTTCTGCATGTGAACTCAGAATTCCAGCACCCCACAAAAGGGATCTTCAGAAGTATAACCTACATGAGGAGTTTTTGACAGCCAGGGAGCCCACAAAAGGATCTGCTGTATAAAACTGGCCCTTCTGTTTCAGAGAAGTTTGATCAGATGGGATCTAAGCAAGAAAAATCCCCCACAACTTCCTTGAATAACAAAGCTTCTGATTTGACTTTAGGGTGAGGTAGCTAGTCACATAATTTGTTTTTATGCCCAAATGCAGGATAATCATGTTTCTTTACTGTGTCCCAAATAGAGGGAGAGAAAGCATCTCAAATGGCTCTGACAGACGATGCCACTAGTTATTTTACCAAAAATGCTCTCATAACCAGCCTCCTTGAAATACATCCCAATACACTTTAAAACACTGCAAAAATGTTGCAGCGTGCTGGCTGCAGGACTGACTGACGTGTTCTTATCCCACAGGTGACTTCTTAAAAACCCTGCAAGATCCAGACTTGAACGTTCGCCGTGTGGCCTTAGCCCTGTTTAATTCTGCTGCTCACAACAAGCCTTCTTTAATCCGGGATTTACTGAGCACAGTCCTCCCCAGCCTGTACAATGAAACCAAAGTGCGAAGGGAGCTCATCCGGGAGGTAACTGGGCTCAGCAGGGGCCACACGGCGGGATGGATAAAACTTGGCCTCACAGCTGAGCTGCCGCTCTGTCTGCTCTTTGCTGACAGCTGGACTGTGTGTCTTGGTTCAGGTGGAGATGGGGCCATTCAAGCACACAGTGGACGATGGCCTGGATGTGAGGAAAGCTGCTTTTGAGTGCATGTACACCCTGCTGGAAAGCTGCCTGGACCGGCTGGACATCTATGACTACCTGAACCACGTGGAGGATGGGCTGAAAGATCACTATGACATTCGGGTAGGTGCTGTGCCCTGACTGATGTCACTTTCTGCGTGGGCCTGGGCTGCAGTCGGGCTGTGTGTCCCCAGAGCCCCGTGGTGCAGTGTCCCCAGGGCCGTCAGCCCTTTGCAGACACCTGGGCCAGCTGCAGCTCCAGCCCCTGGCTGCCAGGGGTGCGCTTCCAGCTCTTAGCAGAGCCCCTAGCACGAGGGCAGAGGAACCTGGTGCAGGTACAGCCTGCCAGCAGAGCTGGGTGCCCCGAGCACCAACCCGTTTCCCTCCCCTGGCCAGATGCTGACGTTCATCATGCTGGCGCGGCTCTCGGTGCTCTGCCCCAACGCCGTGCTGCAGCGGCTCGAGCGGCTGATCGAGCCCCTCCGGGCAACCTGCTCCACGAAGGTAAGAGCAGGATCCTGCAGGGCTGGGGTGGCTCCTGCCCGAAGCTGCCTCTGCTCCTGGCCTTGTCCCTCAGTGCTGCTGGGCCACGCACTTCCCCAGCTGGAGAATCCTCTGCTGGCCTTGGCCGCTGTGCCCGTAGGGGCTGTTCTAAATGCCAGCTGAAAACGGGGCTTTGGATTTGCAGGTGAAAGCTGGTTCGGTGAAGCAGGAGTTTGAGAAGCAGGATGAGCTGAAGCGCTCGGCCATGCGGGCAGTGGCTGCTCTCCTGACCATCCCTGAGGTGGAGAAAAGCCCAGCAATGGCCGAGTTTTCATCCCAGATCAGATCCAGTCCTGAAATGGCATCGCTTTTTGAGAGCATTCAGAAAGATTCCGCTTCCCTCCCCAGCTCGGAGTCAATGGACATGAGCTAAGGTGTTTTTCCCCACCACCCTCCTGCCTCGGGACGCCTCAGCCAGACACCAGCTGGGTGGGGAAGAACAAATGCCACTGGGCTGCTCTTCTGCCTCAGCCAAGTGCAAATCCCTGGGCGGCCACAGGAGACACTGGGGATGGTGTGTTAGATGTGACAGCTGGACGTGACTGGCTTGATCCAGCTGCCTTTCTGTTGAGACCTCAGAGAATTGGAGACCTGAGATCAGGGAGTACAGCCTCATGCAGGGGAGGGGCTGGAAGATGAGTATTCCCATTTTTTCAGGAAGTTTTAAGGGGTGCACAAAGCAATTCCACGAGCAATGGAAATTACTTCCTCAAACCCTCCTTACTGCAGTACAAAAGTTTTTTAATCACTGCACATGCACTTTTTACCTTAAATTGCCCAAGAATGTATTTATGGTTTTTAACAAAAAAACATGGCTAAAAACTGGAAGCCATGTTTTATTAATGAGTTCATCCCACAGGCCTTTTGGGAAAGGAGACTTGCACCTGCCAAGCTGCTGAGGCTGCACAGGGCAGGGGGGTTACCTGACACCCCCACCCTCCTCCTGGGGCTTCAGTTTGGCATTTGGGCAATATGAAGCTTTGTTGCTTGGCTTTCGTATTTATGGTTTTGATTGCAAAATACCTCAGCTGTCTTCCCTGAGGGATGATTAGTGACTGTTTCAGTGACAAACCCTGCTTAAAGCTTTGCTGTGCACTAACACTGGCCTCTTTCTCCCCTTGGAGCACCTTGGTGTTGGTGTCGCCAGCCACAAGGGTCTCCTGGTCCTGGTCACACGTGAGCAGCAGGCCAGGGGTCAGTGTCAGAGCCATGGGGCTCAGACGTGGCAGGCAGGAGCCAGGGGTGCAAGCCCATAGTGGCTGCTGTGCTCAAATCCTGCTTTGTGCAAGAGAAAATGCCTTAAGAGACGAAGGTTCTAACAGCCAACTAGAGAATGAGGCCATCATGACACATTGCTCTAGCCATGAACTGCTCTGTGTTTTCTTTTCTCTTTTGACAGAGTGGTTGATGTGAATAGTATTTATAGTGCTGTGTGAAAGGACATCTGTTGTCTGGGTGGTACAGAAAATAAAATTCACTTGTGAAGCTGCGTACCCCGAGTTCACTGACCATCACCACGGCACTGCTCCTGGAGTGCCCCTGACAGCAGAGCCCCGGAGCCAAGCACAGGCTGCTGCCCCTCCTCTGCCCATGCAAAACAGCACCCGAGTTGGACTGAGGCTTTATTAAATACACCTGTGCTGCAGAGGCTGCTACTCGTTCTCCTCGCTGCGCAGTCTGGCGTTGGGGTTGGTGATCTTGATGGCGAGCTGCGCGGCTCTCTCCACGATCACCTTCCTGTTCTTGGAGGACACGTTGTGGGCAATCTCTGCACAGTACGACCTGTTGGGGACACACAGCGCTGGCCTTGCTGCAGCAGCACCAGAGTGAGGCAAAGCCCTCTGGAGCCACAGCGCCCTGGGGACGGGTTGGAGCTGTGCTGCCAGCAGTACTGACACAGCTGAGCTCAGGGGCATCACTGCACAGGCGCTGAACCACGACTGAAGCAGGAGCTGCCCTCCAGAACAGTTCAGCTTTTCCTGTGAACAACTCAGTCATTAATCATTGTTCTTAGTACTTTGTAGCAAAAACAAGCACTGGAGCACACTCGTGCCCAGGTCTGACTGTGGCTACCAGTGATGTGGCACAGCCTTGCTTGCCACCGTTGTGTATTTTTGCCAAGGGGATGAGATTGCCAGCCCCAAGGCCTCTCTGTGCCCCCACCCTCCAGTGGCACTGGGGGAACTGTGATGGCATCTGTGCTCTCAAAAGCAATGATTTTCCTCACTTCCCCCACCATGCCACTCTCCCAGGTGGGAGTACAGGCCCCACACACTCACTTGTTGCTCATCATCAGCACTTCCAGCTCTTTCACATTGTGGACCAGGAACTTTCTGAAGCCCGTGGGCAGCATGTGTTTTGTCTTCTTATTGCTGCCATAGCCGATGTTGGGCATCAGGATCTGTCCCTTGAAGCGCCGGCGCACTCTGTTGTCGATGCCTCTGGGCTTGCGCCAGTTGCGCTGCACACACACAGAGAGCAGTCACCAAAGGAGACCACCCTGAGCCCGCACCCTGCCCACCCTGCTGGCCTTGCCTGCACCAAAGGCTCCCGTCCTCGGGAAGCTGCAGCAGCCCCTCACCTTGATCTTGACATAGCGGTCAGACTGGTGCCGGATGAACTTCTTGGTCCTCTTCTTGACGATCTTGGGCTTCACGAGCGGCCTGAGGGCAGGCATGGTGGCTGCGGGACAGAGCGGGGTGAGCGAGGGGCGCGCCCGAGGTGCGGCGCGGCTCCCCGGGCCACGCGTGTCGCAGACTGCCTTCCCCCAGGGGCCACGGCAGGCCGGTGGGGGAATGGGTCTTCATCTGCTGGGGCTCTTCCTCCCGCCTCCGAAGCTGGCAGAGCACTGCGAGCCCTCCAGATGCGATCCTGGGAGGTGCCGCGCTGCCATCCCCGCCACGCTCCCGCCCGGCGCCGCACGCCGCGGAGATCAACAGCGACCGAGACCCCCGCTCCGCCCGCCCACGCCCCACAGGCCCCGGCCCGGCTCGTGCCCGAGCGCGGCCGCGGCGGGCCCGCCGCCCGGGAGGGGCACGGGCGAGGCCCGGCCGGCACAGGACCGGCGCCGGCCCGCGGGGGCCGCTGTCCGCGCCCCGGGGAAAAGATGCGGCGGACGGGGAGGGAAAGGGAGGAAGGCGCTCCGTGCCAGAAGCGCCGAGGCCCGGATGGCCCCGGATGGCGCGGCCGGGACTCACCGGTGCCGATGGCGCGTCCACCGCGGGCCGGGCGAGAGAGGGAGGGGCTCGGCGCGCAGGGGCTTATGGGACACGCGGGCGGTCCTGGCAGGGGCGTGTGGCGCTGCCGCCGCGCACACACAGCACCGGGCGCCGGCGGGGCGGCGCGGAGGCCAGGCCGCCGCCGCGGCGAGGTGGCACCGGGCAGGGAGGGTCAGTCCGGCGGGAGCGCCCGGATCGGTGCTTCCCGCCCACCGCCACGGACAGCGCGCCTGCTACGGGGCTGACAGGACCTGTCTGCGTCACGCCGCAGGCCGTGCCCGCCAGCCACTTCCGCCAGTGCGGGCGGGCGGGAGCGCGGCCCCTGGCGGCGCGGCGGGCCCCGGGCGGGCGGCACGGCCCGGGCACCGAGAGCGGCCCCGCTCCGGGAGCTCCGGAGCTCCCCTCAGCCCGCGTGCAGCAGCACCGAGGCCAGAGCCCGAGCGCTCCAGCCCCGCTCTGCTGGCACGGGCCGGCTGTGGGCACAGAGCTGCACTGCAAGGAGAGACAGGCACTACAAAACAGGGACGCGTTTATTAAAAAATAGCAACGACTCCAGCCACGACGCCACACAAATATTTACACCCAGAACTGTGAGGGGACCAAGGGGTGCTGGGGCCAGGTCAGCCCAGCTCAGCTCAGTCGATGCTCAGCCTCTCCCGGTTCTCCCACAGCCACGTGTGGTACACGTTCAACTTGTGGTCCTGCGGCTGCACCTGAGACACAGGGAAAACATCACATATTTACTAAAACACCTTAAAATACCCATCGCTCCAACATCATGAGTGCTGGCTTTGCAGTGCCAGGGGGCCAAAGTGAGATGCTGAAGGAGCCGAAGGGCACCCCCCACCTCCTTCCATTCGTTGACGCAGAAGATCCTGTAGGAGTCGTTGCCGTACTTGCCGATGCCGTGCAGCTCGATGGGGTAGCGCCACGCCTTGCTCAGGTACTCACCTGCGGGGCAGGGCACAGCGCTGAGCCCCTGCCCACAGAGCTGCCCTCAGCCCCTGCCCGCAGAGCCGCCCTCAGCCCCTGCCCACACAGAGCCGCCCTGAGCCCCTGCCCACACAGAGCCGCCCTCAGCCCCTGCCCACACAGAGCCGCCCTCAGCCCCTGCCCACACAGAGCTGCCTCACAGACCCACCCTCACTGCCTGCACACGCAGATCTCCTCACTGCACACACAGATCTCACTGCCTGCACACACAGATCTCCTCACTGCCTGCACACACAGATCTCCTCACTGCCTGCACACACAGATCTCCTCACTGCACACCCAGATCTCACTGCACACCCAGATCTCACTGCACACCCAGATCTCCTCACTGCACACGCAGATCTCCTCACTGCACACGCAGATCTCCTCACTGCACACGCAGATCTCCTCACTGCACACGCAGATCTCCTCACTGCCTGCCACAAGGAGCACCTGGGCAGGACCCTGTGCCACTGTTACATGACTTCACTCCGGCACATTTCAAATGAAAGCCACAAGTTTTAGGTGTTTCCCGGTGCATGCAGACCATGAATCCCCACGGGTTAATCTTGAACTCCTTTTCAACAAAACACTGTGGGAGTTTTAATCATCATCTCTCTCGTCTGAACTAAAGTCTCCTCAGCAGGTTCTGAGTACAGAACCATAAAAATCCCAGCTGGAAGGGCCTGCTGCAGGCCAGCAGAGCGAGCCACCCTCCAACAGTGCTCAAACACAGCAGCAGTGCTGCGGGTGCTTGGGTCTCTTCTACTCCAACAAGCTTCTGGTCTCCGTGGCTGGCGTTCCCTCCCCAGCTCAGACTGGGATCAGCAGCTTTGCCTGTGTGACACCAGTGGATCCCAAGCGCTGCACAAACAGCCACCAACCCACCCAGCAGAGGAGAAGCCACAGAGCAGCGCTTGCATCAAAGCTGTTTGCCTTTTGCCAGCATAACCGAGATTGTTCCAGACACCAGGAAAACCCACCCGAGAACCTGATGATGGTTTTGGCTCTGAGTTCATAGAGGCCAAGAGGTTTGAGCAGCTCTGACATTTCTTTCCAGTCTGCAGCCCTGGCTACCTCAGGAGAAGGATACTTCTTCAGGAACTCCCAGAGCACTGGAATGGCCATTTTCCCTGGTGAAAGAATCCCGTGAGCAGGAGGCTGGGATGGAGTTCTCCTTCTGCACTATCCATATGCTTTCTCAAGTGAGCTTTTCCAAGGCAAGGTTATTATTTCACAGTGACACAAGTTAAAATCAATTCTTTCATGCATACCATTAAAACTGGCAGCTGTTTCAGCCCTCTAACACCTCCCACCATTTACACGCCTACTCCTGCTACTCTGCTTACCTGAAGTTTTGTTGAGAAATATGGTGGCAATGAGAAGCTTCCACGGATCATGGAAGAGTGTTTCCTGGATAAGATTGAAAGGAGAACGGGGAGGAGTCCATTTTCTGAGGGCCTTCCTTCTGGGTGGGTTGGGGGCTGCACAGAGCAACACAGGAACATTTATTAGACAGGAAAGGATGGCTTTACCTATTTAATAAAAAAAAAAAAAATGAAGACCTCTGAAGCATCACTGTGGAGGCACTGTGCACAGATGCAGCCACAGCAGGTCCCACACAGCCTTTACAGGGCTGCAGGGCACTGTCCCACATGGCACAGCTGCAGCCAGTGTCAAGCTGCAAGGAACTTTCCACATCACCATCGATCCTGAGCCGTCCTATCCCCTCCCCACAAAAAAATGTATTTCCCTAAGTACAATACCTTCTTTGCTGTATTTACTGGAAAAATACGGACTTGTTTTCCTTCTCTCCACTTGTGTTCGTGGGACAGACTCTTCTGTAAAGAAATAAACTTCAGCATTAAGAAAAAGCAGCAATTATTTTGCTGTCACGTTTCACACACCATTTCCACTTTACGCAGTGATGGAAACAGAAGGAACTCATGTACAGAACACAAGTGTACCTAAATCTCCTCAGATTATTGCCTGACACTGCACAGCTTAAGAGCTTGGCACAGTAAGTTTCAGTTTTGAGTAAGTCTGTAGCCATGATATTATGAAAATCCTTTGCTGGGATTTTTCCTCTCCTGAGAAGCTGAGGAGCCTCAGGAGAGAAATGTAAACAATTCCTATCTGCTGCTGTGGAATGCAACAGGTGCATCCATGATTGGTCCATGTGGATTGTTTTCCATTGATGACCAATCACAGCCACCTGTGCCAAGGCTGTGAGCAGTCACAGGATTTTTGTTATTCTAGTCTATTCTGTTCTTGTTGTAGCCTTCTGATCTCTCTGTTCTTTTAGTATAGTCTTAATGTAGCATTTTAATATAATATCTAACATAATAAATCAGCCTTCTGAAATAGAGTCAAGCCTCGTGTCTCCACACACAGAGAGGAATCATCAACATAAGTCTGCATTAATTTAAATGCTGCTGGACAAAAATGAAGATCTGGATGCCAGAGCAGCCTGACCTGAAGCAGAACACGTGCCTCAGCAGCCAGGAGGGGCTGGCAGAAGGCGAGGGCTGGCACAGCCCTGCTCTGGCAGGCACGCACCTGCTGACATCCCGGCTGCTGCGCAGCTCCTCCTGCCCCTCGGCTCAGCCTCCAGCTCGCTGTCAGATCCAGCGCTCCGCGCACCCAGATCCCCCGCAGCTGGCGCCTTCCCTGTCCCCAGGCCACAGGATTTCTCCTCAGCCCTCGCAGCAGGCGTGTCACTGGAGCAAGGCCCCTGCTTTGGCAGGTGACCCAGCTCCCTGTGTGAGCCGGCCGCTCTCCTCAGCCGTGCCCTGGACGCTGCTGACAGGGCTGTGCCTGCACGCCCAGGGGCAGCACCTGCTTCAGCCACCCCCTGGCTGTCAGCTCCACGTGTGTCTGTGTGTTTGCTCTCAACACGCTTGGTCTGCCCTGTGTTACAGATTCTTCTCTGCCTCTTGCTCTTGGGGCCACCTTGGTTCTTCCTTTCTGAGCCCTTCTCACGTTTCCTGGTTTGGACACTTCTCCCATCTGCCCTCTTTCTTTTGGACTTCAAACTCTCCTCTGGGTTTGTGCCTACCACTACTGGATCTGTGCCTTCCACAGGAGATGCAGCATCCTCCAGGCGTTCACTCCCAGCCTGGATGTTCTGAATGCCAGCCTCAGCACCGTCCTGTGCACGGAGCTCCTGCACTTTGCTCTGACAATCCTCCTTTTCCAGGTCAGTCCTCGCATCTCCCGTGCCATATCCCCTCAGTCCTGAGCGTGTGCTCCCTCGAGGAGCTGCAAAATCAAAATCTGCTGCTTTCAGTGTTGTCTCCCCAGTTTTCTGCAAATACTCCACAAGTGCTCGTTTTGACCTCAGCTTCTTCCCTTCAGGGCTGTGGTAAGGAAAGTAAATTAGCAATGACTTTCTCATTCTGCTCTTCGCTTAAAAATCTTCAATAATACATAAAAATAAACCTCAAAACGAAGGACAAAAAGAGTTTTGAGGGCGACGTCGGGGCAGATTTCTGTGGTCCTGCCAAGAAAGGCCACACAGCTCACCGACAGCCCCAGCTCACCTTATGAAGTACACGTCGAGCCTCCCGGCCGTCCTGCCCGCCCGCCGGCGGCTGCTCACCCGCTGCCACCCGCGGGGGACGGCGCTGGGCCCCGCCGCGCCGTGGTCCCCGCAGCCGGGGCTGGGGCCGGGCCGTTCCGCCGCCGCGCCTCGACTGCCGCCCCCGGGGCTGCAGGGGAAGAAGAGCCCGGGTAAGGTGCCGCTGCCGGCGGAGCTCCGGGGACGGCGGGGCGGGCCTGGGCACGGGCCCCCACCCGACCCCGGGGCCGGGCCGGCGCTGTGGCCCGGCCGTGAGGGCGGCGCCGAGCCGTGCCGGGCCGTACCGAGCCGTGCGGGGCCGTACCGAGCCGTGCGGGGCCGTGCCGGGTCCGAGGGATGCGGGCCGCGCTCACCTGGCGCGACAGGGCCGAGCAGTGGTGAGCGGCCCCGGCCCGGTCCCATCCCGGCGCGGGGTCGGTCCCGGCCGCTCCTGCTGCTCGGGCTTTGCGGGCCATCGCTCCCCGTGCCGCTGCCGCCGCTCTGTTTGTGTCTCCTGACGCGCCGCTCTCGGTTTGTTTCTTCCCTCAGCATTTACGACCTCGCGTTCAAGCCGGATGGGACCCAGCTGATCATTGCTGCTGGAAACAGGCTGCTGGTAGGGAAACCCTCCCGTCCCCTCTCCTTTTCAGCTGTATGAGCGTGATTTATTTCACATTAACTTATGAATATAACCTATCTGAAATCCCCTTATCTCTGTCAGTGCAGCCTCACAGTAACATACATATTAATGCGGGCCAATTCTAAAGTATTTTGAAGCTTTTAAGTATTTCTTAGCAAGTTTTAAGCTCTATTTGCAGAAGTAATGAGATTTCAGTTATTTGTGTCATCTCATGCCGGGGTTTGAGATCCATGAGCCTGCCCCTAGTCCTGCACAGCGTGCAAGTTTCCCTAAATCTGGCTCAAAGCCGTGTCCTGGCGTGGTGGTGGCAGGGCAGGTGAGGGAACATTCACCTCAAGCTGTCTGTGGGTCCCTGGGGCTGCTGCAAGAGCTCAGGACCAGCTGCTCACAGGTCCTGCAAAGCTTTCAGGTGGGGCAGGTGTAGGAGCTGCAGGAAGGGTGGGTGGGATGGATGGATGGATGGATGGATGGATGGAGGATGGGTGGATGATGGATGGATGGATGGAGGATGGATGGATGGATGGATGGATGATGGATGGATGGATTGTAGAGGTGGAGTTCAGCATTGCAGGACAACAGGTGTTATTTTCAGGGCTAACAGAATGATGTATTTAGCGATGCTCCTTTGCAGTAATTTATTATGCTTAAACATAAAATGCGTAGAAAGATGTTTTAACAGCAAGATGTAAAATATAAAAATAAAAGATAAAAAGCCAATAAGATGTAAAACAAGCTGCCAAACAAGCTGTTGAAAAATGTCCTTAGTGCATGTTATTCTCTAGTACTGACTTTTTTCTTTCTAAGAATATAATGTTACAGAAGGCTGTTTCTGTGCTAGAAAGTGTTTTGTCTTGTATGAACTATATGAAACCCAAAAAGCAGACACAAAGGGAAGTGCATAATCTGCTGGCCTTCAGTAATTTTATATCCCAGCCCTCACACTGGAGGTGTTTTAGGCCAGGTTGCATGGGGCTTGCAGCAGCCTGGTTTAGTGGAAGGTCTCACTGCCCCACACGGGCATGGAGTGAGTGAACTTCTAAAGTCCCTTCCCACCCAAATGTGGTTCTCTGATTCAATGAAGGTTTTTTTTTTTTTTGTAAGTTCTTTTGTTTGTATATTTGGATTGGTTTTTTCTCCCCATTTGAACAGGTGTATGATACTTCTGATGGAACCCTAATTCAGCCTTTGAAGGGCCATAAAGACACTGTGTACTGCGTGGCTTATGCCAAAGATGGTAAATAGCACCTTGGGGCGTGCGAGCCTGGTGTGTGAAGTGCTTCTCTCCCACTGGAGATGGAGAATGGGCATTGTGGGGTGCTGGGGGTTGTTCTTTATCAGCTGCTGGGGCTGTTGTCCAGAGGAGGCTGTGATCTGCAGATCTGCCTGCACAAGAACCTGTAAGGTCACCTGTGAGCCAAGAGCTGTGCTCCCACTGCTCCTCCTCTCTGACTTTAGTGTTGGGCTTAGCACTGCTGAAGTGCCTGGGTAGTGTGAGGAGAAGGCTCACCTCAGAGATGCCTGTTCCTACTGCTCATCTGCCTCTGGGTTTTATTGCTCTAGTTTCTCTGTCCCAGAGCTTCCTGATCTCCTGATCCTTCATGTGTTACCTGCTCAGTGCACTCTGCTGCCAGTTCTCTCGTGGTCTGTGACTCTCAGTCAGTGGGACTCACTCTGTGGGCTGGGGGGCCTTCCTGCAGCTGCTGCTGTTTGGTGGTGGGAGTTCCTGTGACATTGTACCAGTTTAACTTGTCACTTCCCCATCAGTGTCCAGCTGGGGCTGGGCAGCACTGGAAGGACTGGTTACTGGCAAGGCCATGGAATGGTGCAGTACAGCTGCTGGAGCTCCATGTGCCTGGGGAAGCACCAGCACATCCAGGCACTCAGTCAGCCCCTTTATTACTTGAGCCTTGTCGAGTTCAAGAACTTCTTGCTCTCTCTTTGATTGAGTATTTGGAGTGAAAGTGATTCTTGTATGTGTGGGATTTAAATTATCTCTAATTCCTAGGCAAGCGTTTCGCATCTGGCTCTGCTGATAAAAGTGTGATAATTTGGACTTCAAAGTTAGAAGGAATTCTGAAGTACACGTAAGTGATGCTGCTCAGTTCTGTGCCTCAGAAGCTGATTTTCATTATGCACTGCTGCAATTAAAGAGCACGAGCTGTTGGATTTGGGAGAGGGTTCACTAAGGTCAGAGAAAAGGGGTGATGGGGAGGGAGGAGGAAAAGAGCAGCTGAAGTATCTGAGTGAGGCAGGACAGCAATTAAAGGCATGAAAGAAGGTGGGAAATCCAGAGCAATCTGTGAATTTAGAGGGCTGACAGAGAACTAGGGGAACTCAGAATAGGTCAGAATAAAATGAAACATAATATGACCAGTCTTCTATAATAAACCATAATTCTGGTTCAAAGATCAAATTAAAGATGGGTTTGGCACTTCTGGTATATTTAAATCATTTGGCTCTGTTTTCAGTCAGCCCTCTGAAGCAACAACTTCATGTTCTCCTGAGTGCACATTTACCAGGAGTTAGCTGGTCACTGCACAGAGCCTGCACAAGCACACTTGGTTTAGGATTTGGGTACAACCTTCAGTCATATTTCACAAACCACAGTTGCTGTAATCTTGATAAAATACAGTAAATCCTGCTACTTGGAGACACTTTTTACAAGGTTTATTACTGATCTACTTTACACTAATAGCAGACTTACTTGATGTACTATAAACCAATCCAATTATTTTGGCATCTGCTAAGGCTTTCAGCTCACTTGCTGAAAGTCAGAAAAGAGGCACTTGAGAATGATTAATTGAAATCTGATTGTAACTTCATTCTAGGCATAATGACTCTATCCAGTGCGTTTCATACAATCCTCTCACTCATCAGCTGGCATCCTGCTCCTCTGGGGATTTTGGTATGTCTTCTCCCTTGAACTTTTCCTTTGAGACACTGAATTCCATTGCAGCTGGATAGCTGAGCTAACCACAGACAGGTGCAGCTCTGACTCCAGAAGAGATGGGACACAAAGCTACCTAACTGATTTAAATCACTTAACCTCAGTGAGAAGGGACAGCAGTGAGAGGGCACAGGATCAAATGTGCTGCTCTGTTACTGGAGTTTTTTGCAGAGACACCCTCTGTTATTTAGATGGACGTTTTTCCCATTTAATAATAAATAATATGTATTTAAATGTCCACTGGCAGTGGACAAGATATTAGTGCCTCTGAAATCCCAGCTGAGTTCTTTGACAGTATTAATTTCCAGTCTGAACACTGGCACTTACTTGTCATTGGCTTTTTGTTTTCTTTCATCAAGGCTTGTGGTCTCCTGAACAGAAGTCAGTCTCTAAACATAAAACAAGTAGCAGGATTACTTGCTGTAGGTAAGTTTTAAGGGTTATCTGTGTCATTTAAGTTAGTTTCAATACAAACCATTTCAAGTAAGATGGAAGCTTTAAAAAAAATTACTTTTCCCTCCTTCTTTTTCAGTAGCAAAGTGTTGAGTTATACTTGGTCCTGTTTATAACCAAATCCTTCTGAAGGCATCAGAGACAGATTCTGGTCTTGAGCAGGTGTCTTAAGTGTTTTTTCTGTCTTGTGCAACAACAATGAAATGAAGTTACAGGAAAAATAACTGCAATGTTTGTTTGTCGTTCATTCCCTGTATTGTTGGTATTTTCATTTGAAGAAGGTGTTACCTGTGTGGGGAACCTGAAGCAAGGATTCCTACTGAAGTCATTCATCTGACTGGAGAAGAGACCAGAACAGACCCTAGGCCTCCCCAGTCCTACACCAGACAGTTCTGTCTGATCATGTTCTAAATGTGGCTTTTAAAGCATTTTGGTCTGCTCCAGACTGCCATCCCCAAAATGTGTCTGACTTAGCACATGTTACAAATATTGCAAGCTTTAATTTATTCTTTTACTTCTGTGTATAGGATAAAATGTCCTTGATGTAGAGTCCTTGATGTGCTGTTGCTATAAATGTGGATTTAGATGCATAAACAAACCATAGGATCACTAGCCACCTCCCAGAACTTCCTCTTAGAATTATACTTTATTCTGCCATTCCTGTGTGAGTGTGCTGTACACCATCCTGCCTTCCTGCTGCTTGTTTGTAGTAGTTTACTCTTCAGTATGTATGTGTTTTTTCAGCTGGACAAATGATGGCCAGTACCTTGCTTTGGGGATGTTCAATGGCATTGTCAGCATAAGGAACAAAAATGGTGATGAGAAAGTGAAAATAGAGAGGCCAGGGGGCTCTTCCTCTCCAGTATGGTCAATTTGTTGGAATCCTTCCAGGTAAATAATTTCATCCTTCCTTTTTTTTTTCCATTCTGAATAGATAATCCTTGGCTCATTGATTGCAGAAAGGCTTGTCTTTTATTCCTGCTGGAGCAGGTTAATTCCATGTGTGTTACCTTCTTTAAGTGATTATATATTGGGGTTTTGGGTTTGCTGCCAGTCTTCAACTGAATAGAGAGCCTGGGAACAGGTTTAGATTGGAGATGTGGGATTGTTTAGGTTGGAAAAGCCCTTTGAGGCATCAAATCCAACCACTCCCACAGCAGTGCCAAAGCCACCACTTACACCTGTCCCCAAGTGCCACATCCACACAGCTTTTAAATCCCTCCACCCCTGCCCTGGGCAGCTGTGCCAGGGCTGGACAGCCCTTTTAGGGAAGAAGTTTTCCCAATACCTAGCCTAAACCTTCCCTGGCAAAGCTTGAGGCCTTTCCTCTTGTGTCTGTTCCCTGGGAGCAGAGCCTGACCCCCCCTCAAGCTTTGAGTTATTCCTGTAGAGGATACTGGTTTTGATTTTGTGTCCCCAAGCTGTTCTCCAGAGGTTTAAATGACCAGCTGCTGTCCTTTCAGTTTGTGACTTTTAAAGAGTAGCATGAAGTGAACTCTGCTATTCTGCTACTTGGTTCTGTTGCTCTAAGAGATTTTTTTGTTTGTTTTTTTTTGGCAGAGATGAACGAAATGACATTTTAGCTGTGGCAGACTGGGGTCAGAAACTTTCCTTTTACCACCTGAGTGGCAAGCAGGTATGTCTTAGAGAGTTTATTGAAGAGTCACAGTGCATTTCTGGTTCTGTGTCCCACAGTCAAAATATTTGTATGCAGGTGCTTTATTAATTACATTAAATGTCTTCTGTTTTCCAAGCCTTTTATGAGTCTACTTTTTTTAGCCATTCCTCCTTCAGCTCTTATTTCTCACATAGCAGCTCAGCTGCTGTCTCACAGTTCTTCCATTAAAGCCCTTACAGCTCTGCTGACTTGTGTGACATGGTTCACTGGTCTGTAGAGAACGTCTCTGGGGTTTTTCTCAGCTGGTTAAAGGGGGTTTTGAGTTGTTGTGCTCTGAGCAGAATGGTTTGGGACTGGAGGGATTCTTGGATGTATTTTAGAACTGCCTTGGGAATCTTAATATAGCCAGTGGTTCTGGGTGTTGAAAGGCCATGCCTGGAGGAGATGGATGGTGTCAGTGATGGCACGTGTTGTTTTCAGGAAGATGAAATGATCCTCTTGTTAATGTTTTTGATTGGTTTTTTGGTTTATATTCCCTTGTAGATTGGGAAGGACAGAGTGCTCAATTTTGACCCGTGCTGCATCAGCTACTTTACTAAAGGAGAGTATCTCTTGCTGGGAGGGTCAGACAGACAGGTTTCTCTCTTCACAAGGGACGGGGTGCGCCTGGGCACTGTGGGAGAGCAGAGCAGCTGGGTGTGGGCCTGCAAAGTTAAACCAGACTCCAACTATGTGGTGAGTAGGGACGTTTTTCTAACGTTTTTCAGAGGGAATTTGTTACTTAAATAAGATAATACATTTTCAGCTTAGTTGCTTGGACATTCCTACCGAGGCAGTAGAACCTCAGCGGTGTGTAGGGAGGTCCTGTAACTGCCCCTGGAATTACATATGTCCCACAAAAGTAAAACCTGAGCTGTAAGAAGGATCTAAGGAGCATAACACCTCCTCTCAAGTGGTAAGGTGTTTGCTGCATTTTGATTAAAAAAAGAGGAGGGAAAAATAATTAAAAATAGCAGCTAATCGCTTCTGGAATTGACCAAATCTAATTCCATGATGGGAAGAAAGTGCCTACAGGGCAACTGTCAGCACAAAATGCTGCACTCTTGAGTCCTGTACAAGTGGGAAGAGAATTAAAGCAAATTTAAAAATTAACAAACACACCCCCTCTGCAAAAAATCTAACCAAAACCCCAACCAAATAAACCCAAGGCCCCCCCAGCATGGTGGTCTCCATGGTCTGTGGTGGGATCAGTCCATTCCCAGTGCACTTGTGCCATGGTTAAATATAAGTCAGCTCTAACTGGTGTTGGTCTATCCATTATGTACAGTCATCATATATAAACACCACACACTCTGCCAGTCCTCACCTGAAGTCATTCCCTCGTGGTGTTCAGGCAGTGGGGTGTCAGGATGGAACCATCTCCTTCTACCAGCTGATTTTCAGCACTGTCCATGGCCTCTATAAAGACCGCTACGCCTACAGGGACAACATGACCGACGTTATTGTCCAGCACCTCATCACGGAGCAAAAAGGTAATTCCACACTTGCAGGCAGGCCAAAGCTTCCTGCAGCTTGTTTTAATTAATATCCGTCAGGGCACCTGGAATTTGCACTGCGTGTACCTGACAGGCTGTTGTCACTTTGGCAGTCAAACCGTGGAACACACTTTGGATGAGGAGAGTGCAAACTTGGAGTGTGCAAGTTCAGCACTGACAAGTTTAATGAAAGATGTGGGGATTGGCAAAGAGACTGGGAGGGGCAGGGGCTCTTAAAATAAGGTTTTAATCTCTGAAAAAGAGATAAAAATACTGTGTGTTATATATAGCTTTTTTTTTCCTTAGTTGTAACCTCAAGCATTTGTGCTTATTTTGTTTCTTCATTTCTGCTGTCTTTTTATGGCAAGGATTCGAAGTACTGCTCCAGAATGTGCTGTTCAGAGAGGGTGGTAAACTGTGACAGGGATAGTAGATTATGTAGATGCAGAGCAGCAAACATATCTGAGCAGGAATGTGCTTTGAATTTTAGAAGTGCTCTAGGGAGATTCAATTTTAGTGTGTTAGTTCTCAGATTTCTGTGTATTATTTTTGTGTCAGCTTATACTTTATCATTTTGGTGTTTCTTCTTTCTAGTTAGGATAAAAGGCAGAGAGCTTGTGAAGAAAATTGCAATCTACAAAAACAGATTAGCCATCCAGATGCCAGAGAAAATCCTCATTTACGAGTTGTACTCGGATGACTCTGCAGATATGTACTATCGGGTGAAGGAAAAGATCATAAAGAAATTTGAATGTAACTTGCTGGTGGTGTGTTCAGATCACATTATTTTATGCCAGGTATGTGCTTTAAAAGCTAGAGTAGTCCTGGGGTGTGTTCAGGGTTCAAGGCAGCTGTCCCAGACCGTGGCTGGCAGGACATGACTGTCCTGTGGGGTCTGCTGCAGCACTCCCAAGGCAGCCCTGCAGTGCCCTGCCCTGCAGTGCTCACATGCTGCTGGGCTGCCACCACGGCGTGGCTCAGGTGACTGGTTCAGTAAAGCAGGCTCTAGAGTGAATTTGATAAATTAGCACAGAGTCCAGGGGTACTTCTGGGTGTGAGAGAACTACTAGGAAAAGATTGGGGGTGTTCGTTTCTGTTTGCTCACAGGATTGGAAAATCTTAAAGAATTCAGCCATTAAACTGAATCTTTGACTTTATGGTTTTTAAATGTGAAAGTAGACACACCTGCTAGTATAGGTATAAACATCACACATCAGACACAGATTTTTGTCCTCACCTCCAGGCTGTGTTTTATACCTTACTGTGTCCTTAGGAGAAGAGATTGCAGTGCCTCTCATTTAGTGGCGTTAAAGAACGAGAATGGCTGATGGAATCTCTTATTCGTTACATTAAAGTAATTGGAGGGCCTCCAGGAAGAGAAGGCCTCTTAGTTGGTCTAAAGAATGGTCAGGTAACATATCATCTCTGCTATGTGTCTTTCCACTGCAAACAAAATGTGTTCTGTGCTCTTGGAGGGAGACCTTAGGGGCAGCAGGCTCTTCTGCAACCTAGAATTTTATTTGCCAGTCTCATTTTTGGATTAAAAATTAATTACTTCTGTCTTTCACATTCTCTGACAGTAAAATTCATACAAATATGTTTAACTGGGTCTGGAAATCTGTGAGTTTTTGGTATCAACTGACAGGAATTGAGTCCTTGGTGAAGAGAGCAGGCTTGCCTTTAGTGGGGGTTGGAGGTGTGTACACTTCTGCTGATGACCACTTGTGAGGGGCTGTCTGTTTCTCACGCCAGCTGGCAGCTGGAAGTGCCAAACTGGAGCCCAGAGGGACTGATAGCAAGGACGTTGAGATCCTGTGTGTCTTCTGTGTGTTATGTATTCCTGTATTAATGAACTTGTGTGACTGGTGGAGAATCCAGGATGCATGGCATCTGATTTATCTGTACAGGCTTGCGACCTAGAGCGTGCTGTAGCAGCCAGGCTGCTCAAGAGACTCAAACTGGAAGCATTTCCCTAATTTCATTGCAGTTTGTCTCTGAAAAAGCTCGCAGTTTCACACTTCAGACAGCAGGGACGTTTTTACCCGCTGTGCTGTTCCCAGCTCGGGGGACAGGAAAGCAGGAGTGGCTTTGTTTCCCTGTAGATCCTGAAGATCTTCGTGGACAACGCGCTGGCCATCGTGCTGCTGAAGCAGGCCACGGCCGTGCGCTGCCTGGACATGAGCGCGTCCCGCAGCAAGCTGGCCGTGGTGGACGAGAACGACACCTGCCTCGTCTACGACATCCACACCAAGGAGCTGCTCTTCCAGGTCGACACTGACAGCTCCTGGGGCTTCTTAAAAGCGGGGGCAGGAGGCCGGGAAGTAGTTTGGTGCGCAGAACGTCCCACGAGTGTTGCTGTGCAGAAATTCATGTCACTCGTTTAAGCTATTAGTCGCATCTTGTAGAATGTAACTGTGATCTGTTTATCAAAACCACCCTCTCAGAGATGGTGGAGTAGGAATGAGAAGGCAGGAAATCTGTGTGAGCAACAGCTGAATAAAGAGCTCTTAGACATGTGACCTTTTCAGTTTAATTTAGAACTCTGCCCTGCTTCCCTCTGAAGCATTACAGTTAATGAGCATTTTAGTTTTATCATTAGTGCAAACAGAATTAAAGCCTAAACATCTTTGTTCGTTGGGCATTCATAGGCTATAAAAGGAATCATGATAATGCTCTCTTCATTGGCAGTTTAGTAGTCACTTATTAATGTTGATTAAATGTTTTCAGAACGTACTGGATAGCAGGGATGGAGTGCTGCAAAGACAGGGTCTGCAACTTCCTCTGTGTAATGGACTGAGAAATGATCAATTAAATGTGCTAACTAGCAGTATATTATTGTGGAATTTGGTATTATGTTTTACGGATTGATTGTAGAGATCACTAGTAAATATGCACAAAAGGCAAGACAATTATAGCTGAGTATTAAAATGTAAAATACATCCCAATGAATCTGTTTAGGAATATTGTAGGCTTTAGGATATTGCAAATGTGACTAATCGGTGTGTATGTACACACCAGGCTGTAGTGGGTCAAACACTCCAGCTGAAGGAGGCATGTTTCTTAGCAATGATGTGATTGCTTCAGTTGTAATCCTGAGATGTTTTGCTCATTAGGAACCCAATGCTAATAGTGTGGCCTGGAATACCCAGTGTGAGGATATGCTTTGCTTTTCTGGAGGGGGTTACCTCAATATCAAAGCCAGCAACTTCCCTGTCCACCAGCAAAAACTGCAAGGCTTTGTTGTGGGTTACAATGGCTCCAAGATCTTCTGCCTTCATGTTTTCTCTATGTCAGCAGTTGAAGTTCCGCAGGTAATCCTTTAATCTCATTAAGTGTTGCTTTATATCTCATAAACATGAATGTTTAACAAGTGAAGAAGCTTTTCTGAGATTTACTTGTATTTCATTACTAAAATGATTGCAGTTCACACTTCCTTCGTTGTTATTTAAGTTATATTGTGTGATCTATTTTATTTTTGTTTCTTTGGCGTTAATTAAGCTAACTTCCTTTTTGCTTTTGGTAATTGTTTCTGATTCTCCCTTTCTACTTGCAAATGCATGCACATAATCTAATATAGTGCAGGCCTTACCTCCTGCAGGATTTTTACTGTGTTCTCTCTGTATAACTTTTTTCCATTGTAATTTCATTTTTCTTGAATACATCAAATACTGTTTTATTGCTGCTTCGTCTAGATGTCTTTAAGCAATATTTAAATGGAATATTTTAGTTTGAATGTATAGTACCTGTGCGGTCTTTATATTCAAAATTTAGGGATTGCCTTCCATAAAATGCTGATTTCTGTCATCATGGAAGTCAAAAAAAAAAAACAAAGCAAAAAAAGAAAGCAAAAGGATTGTGACTGTGCATCCAGGAGTGTGCAGGGCTTGCCTCTGAGAATCGATGAAGAAGGCAGAATGTCCTGTGCTCGTATTGACTAAAGGACATCTGTGTTACAGACCCTGTGTCCCCTGAGGCCCTGGGCAGGTCCTTGGTGGGGCTCTGGGTTGCCCAGGGGGGATGGCAGGCAGCCACAGGATCACCAGGCCTTGAGCACTCCTGTCTGCCTTTGGCATGCTGTAGGCACCAAGATGCCACAGAGTTACTGTGCAGCAGCTCAGAGGCAGCTTCTCCAAAGCTGTGCTTTCGGAGAGAGGCAGTGGCAAAGGGTGTACAATGTTCAGATAAATTGGTAAAAGTAATGCAGAAATGGACCTGCATCATGCTGGGGTTGCAAAGCCAGGGTAAGGCAGTGGTGCTGCAGTGCTCCCTGTTCCCTTAGAGGGCTGGGGCTGTGGCTGCAGACCCACACCTGTCTGTGCCCCTGCAGCAGCTGGCAGCAGACCCACATCTGTCTGTGCCCCTGCAGCAGCTGGCAGCAGACCCACACCTGTCTGTGCCCCTGCAGCAGCTGGCAGCAGACCCACACCTGTCTGTGTGCCTCTGCAGCAGCTGGCAGCAGAGCCACACCTGTCTGTGTGTCACCCTGCAGCAGCTGGCAGCAGACCCACACCTGTCTGTGTGTCACCCTGCAGCAGCTCTGCCTGCATAGTACTAAAAAAGCTCAGTGTACGTCATATTTACATGTTCAATGCCCAGAAGAATTCACATCCTTAACTGCTTCCTAATATTGAAAGGAAATGAAGATTTCAAAATGGATGAGTTTGGAATGTAATTAACCCAGCTTGTCTAAAGATAAGGTAAAGATCACCCCAGAACGTTGTTCTGTCTGTGTACAAAACTGAGATGTTTATTCCCTGGGCAGCTTGTAAGGGTTGTGATTAAAATATTTTTTTCCCAATATATGTAGAGAATTTCACTAATATATCTCAGTATTATGCTTTCTGATACATGTTTTTTCTATGACAATCCTCAGTCTGCACCCATGTATCAATATCTGGAGCGAAAAATGTTTAAAGAAGCCTATCAAATTGCATGCTTAGGAGTGACTGATGCTGACTGGAGAGAGCTGGCCATGGAAGCCTTGGAAGGGCTGGAGTTTGAAACTGCTAAAAAGGTAAAGCATTTATTTTCTCGTTTAGCTTAAAGCTTGGGTTTGATATTTATATATGTGTATGTGTGTGACTATAATGCATGTTTTATGACTGGAATGCGTGGCGTTCCTGGGTTACTGTCTTGCTTGTCTGTTGTGTCTTATTCCACAAACAAACCAATTGTTTGTTACAAACTCAGGATTTTGAGATGAGGTTTTGAACTGATATATAATCTATCTCTGTAGATAAAGGCCGTGTTCTAAATCAAAGTGTTCTATAGGAAGAAAATGTTTTCATCTGGAAAATGCATTAATGGATTTAGGGGAGCAGAGCTGGGAAGCAGTGCCCACCGGGTGGCAGCAGAGGATGCTCACCTGGCCCTGGCCCCCACCTTCCTTGGTGCTATAAACTTGCCCTTTCCCCCTAAATATTTGCTGTAACCTCGGTACAAATGTGAAGATTTCCTACTCTTTGTTACCTCCTGCTAAGGCTGTGTGAAGGCAGTGGTGCTGGGATGGTACAATTTCAGTCCTGTTCTGTGTGGTGTGCCTTGCTAGGGGAGTGGTCTATGAGTGGGCATAGACTGAAGAATTGAGTTTTCTCTGGCATAAAATAATTCCCCATTTTCTTTCACCACCCCTTCTCAAGTAAGAGAGAGCAAACTGAGTTCAATGTCATGAATATTGTATGAAAGACAAAACATTCTAAAAATACACTGAGAATGGTCTGAAGTGATAGACATCTTTTAATAACAGATTTTTTTTAAAAAAAGGAAATTAAATGCTTCTTTTTTTTTTTTTTTCTTAAGTGGAGGCATCAGAATAATTCCAGTCTCATGGATGGCTTTATGCAAATAGATACTTTTAAAAAGAAGTTTTCAGTGCCTCCTTGGAATTTTTAAGTAATGCCCTCTTAGAATTAGAGCGGATTAATTCAAACAAAAGCAGCTTCTTGACATTAAAGGCTCTTACAGTTCCTAGTCCAATCCGATGTAAGCAGAATTCTGTGCCCTCTTCAGTTTGGTTGAAGTCCTGAATGTGCAGCCCAAAGAGTTAAATTTCTGTTTTGTGATGCATGTCAGGAATAAGTGCTGAGCTGCTGCAACTTGCACGTGACTTTGCCACTTGAGACTTGGGGTTGCACATTTATCTCCATTTGCAAAGATATTACACTGTCTTAAAGTACTTTTATCTTATCGTCTTCTTACTTCCTTTCCTCTCTCTGAGCTCCTTTCATGCTGGATTTTCAGAATGGTTTAAAAACTGGGAGCATATGCAGCCAGCTTTGACAATGGGATCAGTTATGTGCCCTTCCTTGTAACAGTTTCCTGAAGTTTCCTCCTCTGTGTCACACCTCGCACCAGAAAGGAGAACCAGCCAGAATGAAAGCACGGAGTATTTTAAGTGACACTTTGTGTTTCTTGGGGGCTGAGGCACAGCTCCTGCTGCCTGCTGTGCTGCTCAGCCAGGGCCCAGCTCTTTCCTGTCACAGCTCAGGGGCCACAGTCACAGCCAAACCCAAACCCAGCAGATTTCTGCCTGTCCTTCTTGCATGAGGACAGCTTGATTCGTGCAGAATGATATTTGGTGTTTTCTGGGTTTTCAACTTAATCCCTTTTGCTCTTTTTTTTTTTTAATTATTTTCAATAGGCATTTACCAGAGTACGAGACCTTCGATATCTAGAACTGATCAGCAGCATAGAGGTAAGCCAGTGTTCAAGAAGGTGTATTTTCTTAAACTTACTACTGTACCAAAATCAGTACTTTCTGTTCTGGAAGGACTTTGTTTGGATAGTGCTTCTGACTGTTGGAGATGTGTTTGAAGTGAAAAATCCTGGTTAGTAGAGGTGACTCAAGTTCTAATGGTAGGATTGGAACTTTGTGGACCAAAATGTGGGTGTGGGATGGGAACTTCTGAAACTGTCTTCAGGAGAACTGGAAAAGTGTTCAATATTCAATTAATAATTGGTAGAAAACTACTGTGCTGACAGAGCTTAGTACAGAATACTTCATAAACACGAGTTCATTAAGCCTTTCCCTACCCCCTGGAGGTAGGTAATTACTATTATCTCCTCCTTGCAGAGACAGAAACAGGCCCAGAGAAATGAAATGACAAATTTGGGGTCTCATGACAAGTCTGTGACAGCTGGAAATAGAATTTGGGATTCCATACTTCTATACTGTGCTCTAATCACTCCTTCCTATTCTTTTCACACTTCTTGATAGAATTTCACTCAACAATAACTGTCTGTCATGAGCACTTGAAAATACACTTAACACCCTTGTCCTTCTGCAGAGATGGCAAGATAATGCTTAAAGATCTTCTTGGAGATGGCATAAAGGGAATTCCTCTTCCTTGTGTTAATTAGATTTACACCTTCTCTTGAAAGATACACTCCTTGTCTTCATGTCTGCAGAGCTGTCCTGCTGCTGTCAAAATGCCAGCTGGTTACAGTGAACTTTTCTCTAACACAGGACAAAGGTCTGCATTAAGAGCTCCTTTTTGTCTGTTTATTTTCTTTTTTTTTTCTTTTGCAGGGTATAGGTAGGTGAGAGTGTTCTCTCACAGTACTAACCTTTCTTTTCCACATATGCTTCTCCAGATTTTCATTTATTGAGGATATTCTGGATTTGTCATGTCATATCTGTTTAGTAAGAAAGAATCCCCCTAAAAATAGGCATAAACTTAACTTTTACACATCCTGAAAATGCTCCTTCTGCAGTGAGTTCTACATCCCCACTTACTCTTGCCTGCAGTGGTTTGGATTCCTTTTAGGGCTTGTAGGGGTGTAACTAAACACACATGTTCCATCAATGCCATGGTTTTCTCTCAGTAATGACACTTTTCTTTCCTAATTGATGACAGAGAAACATGGTTGCCATCTCTATCTGGGAAGATTCTGTGGAGTCTTCAAAAAAGGGTGTAACACGTCCTCTGATTATTCATTTAACCAAGTTTTTGAAGGAAACTTTGAACACCAGCTCAGTGTCAGCCCAGTCTGTCAGTGTGACCAGGGAGTGATGGCTGAGCCCCTCTGGGAGCAGAGGATTGGATTTGGGTGCTGGTGGAGTGCTTTTCCCCTTGCATGCAGTTTTCTTTAAATTCAGTTCACAGCTATGTATTTCCATACAATGTGGGCTAACTGCAGCAGTAATTTTATCCCAGGCAGGGTAGTGGTGTGTGTCCAATACACAGGATAAGGCACACACATGGAAACACACACACCCACGTGTGCAAAGCTGTGCTGGGTCCCTCAGAGTCAGGGTGCTGCTGCAGTTTGATTCGTGTGCAGGGTTTCTGCACGGCTCTGCACTATGCTGTCCTCACAGTCCCTTCCCAGGCAGAACAGAACAAACAGTTCTGGTTTCCAGGAGAGCATCTACAGGTGCTCTGGAAGTGGCTGGTGCTGACCCAAATCCGTGAGCTCTTGCATGTGGGGACATGGAGGTGTCACTGGTTTGTATTCAGAGGCAGGCTGACGTGCTGCCTGCATCTACCTATTGCTGGCATTATCCTCCTGTTTGTCATCCCACCTGCACGTATGGTTAATGTGGCCAAATTATGTGCTGGTGAGATTGTAGGGAGAAAACGAGGAGCCCATCAGATGCCTTTTTTAAAATAGACTGGCATAATGATAGCATGTGTTCATTTTCCTGTGTGAAATCAAGAGAAGTGACTTTTCATCACTTTGGTTTGTATAGTGACATTTAATTTTGCTCTTCATAATTTTAATTAAGGAGGGATTTAATCCTTTAATTATAAATTCACCAGAAATGTAGGAGAGGCATAATTATGCTATCCCATTACAGGTTTTTAATTATTAGCAGTTAAAATCTAAGCCTGAAAATCTAATTGCTCAAAGGCTATTTCTTGCCTAGATCATCTAGAATATTTTCTACATCTCTCTTCAGTTTTTCTATTCTTCCAGGATCGGAAAAAGCAGGGAGAGAACAACCACGAGCTGTTCCTGGCAGATGTTTATGCCTACCAGGGGAAATTCCAGGAGGCAGCGAAGCTGTACAAGAGGAGCGGCCGCGAGAGCCTGGCCCTGGAGATGTACTCGGAGCTGCGCATGTTCGACCACGCCAAGGTAGGAGCTGCCACCTGCACGCTTGCCTGCACAGGGATTGAGGTATGGTCCTGCAAAAGAGGTGTGGGCTTTGAATTCCAGTTTCATTTTCTCAGGTATTTGTTTGGAGGTCGTTTGGCTTACAGGGGGAAAAGTGTCTCTGGCCTGGGTGTAACGGTGGCATTTTCCTTCAGAGGCTGCTACCAAGGCAGCAGAGTGTTTGTAGAGTCCCAGATATGGCTGTGGAAATTCAGGGCTTTTCAGTGAATTCTTTTGGTAGACCTTCTGATTACATATTATTGTCTATAGTAATTTTCCTTCTTTCAAAACTAAAAAGTTTGTGTTTATGACTCCTCCTTCTCCATTATCTCATTTGAGAGTCCCTTTTTGTTTGTTTGTGCTCCAAAGATGACAAGGTAGTACCCATGTTATAATAAAAATACATTTATGGATCAGAGTAAGTCAGTTCTATATAAATGCATTTTAAAAACTGTATAATATGCTAACATAGAATATTTTGGTTTACTACAGAATTTCTTCCAAAGATGCAGTATCTTCACATTTTTTAAAACTCTGTTCCATGTAGGAATAAATTGAATATAATTCTAAAAAGTGATGTTTTTATATGGTGATAAGGAGCATTACTTGGCTCTTAAGTCTTCTGTGGTGTTTTCTTATCAAAATCCCCGAGAATGCATGCACTGTTTAGTCTCATTCATCACTCATCAGAGCCCTATTCTGCCCAATCCAGGACAAAGAATTCACCATGACATGCACAGAAACTCTGTAGCAGAGATTCCCCGAGCCATGCTGCAGAGATCTTTTTCTTCCAAGAGCTCAACAGAAACATTTGGGGGCTTTGCTGATGTAAGCCTGACTTCCGCTATTTTTGGCTGATGAGTCTTTGTTAGCTTCAGTGTTTTGGCTCCTCTTGAACATAAATGTAATTCATACAGGAAAATGTTCCCATAAGTCTTTGTAAGAATCTTTTAATTCTTGGCTGCAGTCATGTCTAAATTTAACCAGTAGAGAGCAAGAGGTCTCATGTCTCCTATATTTCGGAGTGATTCCATGCTGAGAATTTTTAGGTACTTCATAAGGCAGCTTCTTGTGCAGGGAGTGCACAGGACATGGAAGGACATGTAAACCCCCCTTGTTTTCCAGTTATTTATCCCAGGAAAGAAACATGGGGGAGGGGTGTGTTGTTGTGGTGCTGTTTGCACTGGTGCTGCCAGAATTATTCAAAGGGACCCACAGAACCTGGTTTCTTGTGCATGGCTTTGATGAGGCCAGGATGGAGGGTCCAGGCTGGAGGCAGAGGTTGGGAGTCCTTTGATATCTGGTCACAGGCTCTTTATCACAGCCCCAGATCACAAAAAACCTCTTTATGCTGTGGGAGCTGAGCCTAGCTTTTGATTTTGGGCTTGTTTTGGTGACCTAAGCTGGAAAACAAGTCATGCCAAAGAGATTGTATGAGTTCACTCTGGAGGGCAGTTTTCCATACCAGAGGCTGTGGGGATAGCTGTGTGGCTGCTCCTGGAGCAGGGTGTGCTGCAGGAGGCAGCCTGGGGCTCACGTGGAGCTGGCACTGGTGGGCTGCACTTGTGGCTGTAGCAGGGAACTGCTGAAGTGCAGTGCTCAGGCAGACCTGGTGTACAGGTTTTTGCCCATTTGTTGCTTTGGTTCTGGTTTTTTGAACCTCAATCAGAATTTGCCAGAAATATAGAGGATACACAGTTTTCCACTCTTTTCCCACCTGTCATTTCTCCTCTATTCTGATTTTTCTTTTGATAGAAGCTGTTTAATGGGCAGTAGCCTGTTCTTTTAGCAGTCAAAATTGCCCTTAATCGATCTTCTGGTGTTGAAGGGGGGTTTTGTGTTTTTTTCCTGGCACATGATGTCAACAGATGTGAACCATATGGTGCCAGAGCTTTAGTACTGGCAGGAGAAGCTGAACTAACTATTAGAAATATTTCCAAAATGGTTGTCAACACAGGGTCCAGGCTTGATGTTTGCATTCCTTCCACAAGTCCAAGCAGTGCTTCAGAGCACTCTCACTTTTGAGCAGCTGTGGTTCTGCCATTATAAAAGAACTTAATGGATATATTTTTTAAAACACCTTGTGTCCTGCAAAGACACTTGATAATAATTTCAGCCTTCAGTTGATTTGTGGTGGGACATCCTGATGCCAGTGTGTGATTTAGTGGATGTGCTGCTGTTGACTGAGCCTGGGCTGGGACTGGGTTGTCACTGAGAATGAATCCATACCTGCTTGGCTTGCAAGAGAAAATCTGAGACTTGGAATTGATCTGTTAGAGTTTTTAGATTAGTACCATTTTGTTTTGGAAGGCCTGTTTCTGACAAGCTTGCAGAAATCATAACTCATATCCACCAAACCAGGCTTAGCAGAGAGCAGGAGGGGACATCAGTGTTACCCCTGAGGCACCTGCACTGTCCCTCTCTGGGCCTGGCCACAATCTCCTGCTTTTTTTAAAATTGAAAGCCATATAAATAGGAGACCTGCCATTGTTTCCTCCCAGACACGGGGCCTTGAGGATGAGCTGCTGAAGGCTGGCTCAGTGCTTGTTGCTCTCCATGGAGGATTTCTGTCCTTGGGAGGCATCATGGTTTTCATTACAAAAGCCTTTACCTGTTTTAGAGTTTAGACTTTGTGACCAGAAGATAACGCAGACTTTTGTATTGCACTGTTGCAGGAATTTCTGGGATCTGGAGATCCCAAAGACACGAAGATGCTGATAAAAAAGCAAGCAGACTGGGCCAAGGATATCAATGAACCCAAGGCAGCAGTGGAGATGTACCTCTCTGCTGGAGAGCACATGAGGGCCATCGAAATCAGCGGCGACCACGGCTGGGTGGATATGTGGGTCTTTTGTCTCCTCACAGATAATGCATAACAAAAGCTTGAATGAGATTTTATGAATTCCACATAATTTTAAAATAAGACCAAATGTATTTGGTATCTGCCTTTATATCAGACTGAGTATCTGAAACACACCTATGATTAAAAATGATTTAAAAGTTGCATATGTTTAGAGGGTAGAGGCATAAATATGTTACAAAAACGAATGCATTACAGCAATGAAGAGTATGCATGGGTTTATCTCCAGTATGAGATTGTCTAAAATAGCCTGAGTGCCTTCAGAGTGATCATCACACAGTACCTGTACCAGGCAGCCCATTGCTGCTGTTCTCAGCTGTCTAGGATAGATCTAGGGGATAGAGAAGTCTCCTGGAGCACAGAGTCTTTGGAAATTCTGTGGCCACTCCTGTCTCTGGTCGTTTCTCATCAGCCTAGGTGGCACTTGGGGTCATTTGCTGAGCTGCCTTAGGACCTTGGCCGGGCCCTTGAGGCTGGCCTTGCCTCTGTTCTGCTGTGTGGCACAGGGGCTGGTTTTTATCCAGGAGCCTACTGCTCAGGTCAGGGCTGGGAGGTGTCTCTGTGCCACTGAGTCATGCAGGACGTGTTCCCTCCTTCCATCTGCACAGAGTCTGAGATACAGGGCTGAATGTGTGAGCAAAGAGGGAAGGAAGGCTTTGAGCTTGCAGAAGGAAAAAGCTATTTGGAATGTTTACTGAAACTGTTCAAACAGGGTTCCATGGTAGTACTATTAGGATGTTTATTAAATGTTAACTGATTGAAGGTGAAGTTATGACAATAATTAAAAGGCAAAGCACCAAGGCAGAATCTGAAACATCTGGCTTCTTTCTGCTGACTCTAGGTTAATCGAAATTGCTCGAAAACTGGATAAAGCTGAGCGTGAGCCTTTGGCCAAATGTGCCTTCTATTTTAAGCAACTTGACAACCCTGGCTATGCTGCAGAAACCTACATGAAGGTTGGTGACCTGAAAGCATTGGTCCAGCTCCACGTGGAGACTCATCGCTGGGAGGAAGTGAGTGTGCCCTTGATTTCTCTTTGGAAAACCACTGCTTCTTGTTGTCACTGGTTGCAGCTAAAAGGGAGGCAAATGTCTGGCTCCCCCAGCACTGCAGTGAGGGAGGAAGGCTTCTGCAGAAGGGTTCAGAGTATTTCAGTTTATCACCTATGCCAGCATGTGTTTGGTGGTGGTGTGGTCTTCTGAGAGTGCATCCAAACTGCAATTATAGTGTTACTTCAATTTCTTTAGAAAATGCATTCAGTAAAAATACAAATATTTTTTGTCTCTTGCTGGGAAATCTGCTAAATTTCCCAGATAATCACTTTCAAGTCTTTCTGTTTCAATAGCCAGTCTGTTATTATGCTAAGCTTCTTTTCTTTTGTTGTTGATTGCTTTTTATTTTAAAACACACAAGTTTCATACTGGAGAAAATATGGATTACACTCTCTATTCTGTGTGTATGTTTTGTTGTGAATTTTCTTAGAGCTGAAGGATTGATCCCATGGAATATTTTAAACCCTTCAAGTGTTTAAACCATGCAATATTCTAAGAATGAGCTTTTATTTGTCAGGCATTTGCTCTGAGTGAAAAGCATCCTGAATTCAAAGATGAAGTCTATGTCCCTTATGCTCAGTGGCTGGCAGAGAGTGATCGATTTGAAGAAGCCCAAAAAGGTGAGAATGTCACTGACAGGTCACTGCTCACTCCATATTTACTCCATAGTTCTCCACTACAGAATATGCAGACTTTGCCCTGGTGAATTTCAAATCAGTGGTATTCAAAACCAAATATAACCCATCTTTTAATATGGTTTTAAAGTAACTGGAAATCCTTATAGGAAAATGTGATGGATCTATCAAAAATAATGGCATCTAAATATAAGTCCAGATTTTCTATCTTGTTGTATATCTGAGTGTGGCACTTAAGAGGTATTTGGCATATAATGCTAACTGTTGTTAAGATTTTTATCCCACAAAAATTCAAAATATGGCAGCTCTCTTATAAACCTGAGTGAAAAACGTAATTTCTCCTTCTATTTAGGCAATATTGGATTTGCACAAGTCAAGTTTTGCCCTTTCTTTAAGGTTTTTGTGGCGTTTGTTTGGCTTATAAGATTACATTTGAACAGAACTGTCAACTTTCCATCCTGTGGAAGGGCTTCAAAGTTGAGTCCCCAAAGTACTGGAGAGCCAAGGAGCGTTGAAGTGAGCTCTGAGAGCCTGCCTGGCTCGGTGCAGTCCGTGTGCCAGGAGCTGTGCCAGGAGCTGTGCCCTGAGCCAGCTCGGATCGAGCCTGACCCTGCTTGGCTGAGAAGGGCTGGGCTGGATCTGCCCCTGCACAAGATGAGTTTGTGTGTCCTGGCAGCGAGGCTTGGAGCAGCTGGGCGAGGCCAGGGCGGTGGTTTGCCCTCTCTGGACGCAGCTTAGAGCCCCCACAAAGCTCTGTGCTGCTGGGGCTCAGCAAGTGCAGAACTGGAGGAGCTGGAGGTCCTCATGGGGCTGTTCTGGTCTCAGAACAGAACGTGAGGTCTGGTTCAAGCTGAGATGGCTTCACTCAGGGGGCAGCAGTGCTGTGGGGCTGGGTTTTTTGGGGCTGCTTCCCCCTCAGCCCTGTTCCTTTATATGGAGACTGCATTGGCCAAATGCCGTTTGCCAAGTGAGAATTCAAGGTGCATCAGAAAAGGACATGCTGTTAGTAAATGAAGGAAGGGTGTAGTAGCTGTACTCTTAAAGTATTCAGCACAATACTTTTAAAGTATTCATACACACCAGAGCACTGGCTTCAAACAATTTATTGTAGTTTTGAGTGAAGTTGGGATTTGCAGTGTTTGGAGATTGCTGTTGTTTGTACAGAGATCTAATCATCACAGCATCTTCTCTATTTAAAAAAACCCAGTAACCAGTGTTATACATACTCCTTGAGCTCAAGAGTTGCTGGACAGTGCAAAAGCTTCAAAATACCTACAGATTCTTCTCATGTTCCATTAGTGTCACTGCATTCAAGGAGGAAAATACCAGTGTATAATCCCCTTTATCCTGCCCTGGACAGCGTGTTTGATATGGGCTGAACAGAGTGCTCTCAGTTCAGAGCCATTAATTTCCGTTAATTGATGCAATCCCGCTGTGAGCCCTCTTTGTTTTGGCCGGGCAGCGTTTCACCAGGCCGGCAGGCAGAGGGAGGCCGTGCGGGTGCTGGAGCAGCTCACACACAACGCCGTGCTCGAGAGCCGCTTCAGCGACGCCGCCTATTATTACTGGATGCTCTCCATGCAGTGCCTGGACATCGCCCGAGGTGAGTCACCCGAGGGAAGTGTGCCTTTGTCACCTTGTTGTGCACCTGGACCGTCAGCTCTGCATTGTCATGGCACTGCAGCTGCTGCTCTGCTGGGTTTGGTTTGGGTTTTTTAATGCTGTGCGCATCCCGGCTTGTGCTATTTTTGTAGTGCCCTGTTTTTCCCATGTGCTAATTTAAAACAAATAAACAAACCAGCGACATCAGCAGGCATAAGGCTTCTTCTGAAGTCTGGCTGGGATGAAAATCCTGCCTCCTGGGACCGTGTATCCTCCTGCACCTTCCCACCACACCCATTGCCTGGGGGCTCAAAGTGCTAGTAAATAAAAGATGTGGAAGAGAAAGTTACCTCAAGTGTTTGAACATAGCTTTGGGAGGTTACAAATTATTTCTGTGAACTGGTAAAACTGATTGTTTGCTAGCTGTCATCTTGTCCCCAAAATGTATGCCACTGTTAATAGTTAATAGGTGTAGTTTAGTGATAATGAATGCAGAAGGTTGGGAATACTGCCTTTTGCCTGGTGCTCTGAGTACCTTTGGTTTTAGTTCAGCTGATCTGTCGCCCCTCAGGTGTTTGAGATGCATGTTTTTCCAAATGGCTTGGTAGTGTATTTGGTATTTGTGAAAGTTTTCAAAACTAATTGTTTTCTGGCATTCTGGAAGAGGTTTCCAGTGATGCACACCTGCTGCTTTCTGTCTGTAGCCACTGGCTGTGTTAAACCATTGCCTCATTGTTCTGTGTTTTGCCATGCGTGTTTCAGGCCAGAAGTTTGCTCAGAAGAATACAACTCTGTAAGCATATGATTTGCAGGGGTAGAGGGGGCATGCTTGCCTGGTACATGCTTCCTCTGGCAGTGCTGGTGCTAAAATCATAACAGGTTGTTTTCTCCCAGCTGAGTCTCACAGACTGCTCTTTGGGACTGACACCAGTGCCTTTGCCTCCCACAGAGAACGAAGGACAGCAGACCGAAATGTTGCAGAAGTTTCATCACTTCCAGCATTTGGCAGAAGTTTACCATGTCTATCACTTTATCCAAAGATACACTGTAAGATACTCACTTCAGAATTGTGTATTTATGCTTCCTGAGCTTTTTTGCTTAGGGAGTCAAAAAATAACTAGGACTTTCAGGCAATTAAATATTGAATGTACAACAGTGATACTGTATAGTAAGTTTATTTATTTGTTTAACTTTATTTTATTATACAGTCTTCAGCTGTCCTGTACAAGGGCTCGCTCAGCTCTTTACAGCTGCAGGTGGGGCAGGGCTGTGCTGATCCTGGCCTCCCTCCTGCCCGTGGCCCTTTTTGTGCTGGTTGCCTTGGTTTGGTCCCATGGTGCCTGAGCCTCTGCTCCTGCACAGGCCAGGGTCAGTTTTTCCCTGAGTCACTGGAAAACAGGGTTGAACAGAGGGATTTCCACAGGGTGCTGCGTGTGTCACTGATGTGCAGTCACGAGTGAGGAGCTCCTACTAATTCCAGCAATTAGAGTCATGCTGCCATCACCATTGGCACAAATATCTGTTGTAAAACATTTGAGAACCCTTGCTCTGTGCCTTGCCCAAAAGAAGACCCTGTGCTATGGAGCCTTTGCTGTCAGACTACTTTAGATCTCACAGCACCAGAGATCTGCACTGTGGCTGTGCAGACTGCCCTCATTTTTAAATGACCTGTTAAAGGTTCTGTCCTAGCTACACTGATCTCTCTGTCTCTCTTTTCTGTATGTATTAGGCATGAGCTTTGGTGATAAAGATATGTAAAATCCACTTGTTACCTTCTGTCAACACCTCTTTTCTCAACGGATGAAAGAAACACCGTACTAGAGATGCCTTGTGCTGTGTTGCTTACTGATGTAAGTTGTTTGTTTTCCAGCTTAGAAATGTGTGTCTATGTTTTTCATACCACAGGAGGAGCCTTTCAGCTTCCACTTGCCTGAAACCCTCTTCAATATTTCCAGGTTTCTGCTTCACAGCTTAACAAAGGAGACTCCTTTGGGGATCTCAAAAGTGTATCCTTCCAATATTGTACAAAATCTAGAAGTTATCATGTGATAGATGAAAGGAATCACTGCTGTTGGTCCAAGGCAGGGACTTCCTGCAGGGAATCTTTGGTGTCACCTGTTGGTTATCATTAATGGGAACTGACTTCTGTCCCTCAGGAATAATCAGTGTCTTCAAACTATTGTGTGCTGAGCTGCAATAACTTGTTTGTTATTTGATATAGTTTTGGAGAGCTGTGCAAATCAACTGATGTCTAACTCTGTTAGGCCTGGAACACCTGCCCTGTCTGGTGTGTCACCTGTGTCAGAGGAGCGGGTTCCAGGACACCAGTCACAGCAAAAAGATGTTGGCTCTGAATCTTGACAGCCTTGTTAGAGGGAGACTGAGCTGAGGCAGCAGCAGGGAAACCCAGGAGCTTTTGCTTGCTGTGGGGCTGGTGTGGCCGTGTGGTCTGTCAGCCAACATTGCATGGCTCTGTTAGTGCTGGTGAGCCTCTGGGAGTGCTGCCTAAAGGGGCAGTGTGAGCCAGTGCACTGCACCCTTCTGGAAGGGATAGCCACAAGGCCACGGGGTGCCACAGGGAGCCCTTGTCTTGCTTTCACTTCATTTCTGGCTTTGGATGGGATATTAGCTTTCCTTTTCATAACTTCCTCGCTTGGAAATGTAGAATCTTTCATGAAGGTTTTGATAGCAGGCCTTGTGGTCAGTAGGTGCAAACAGCACTTACTGTTTCACTCTGGTGAAAGGGAGGGACAGCACTTGGTTGCTAACTTGGGGCACACTCTTCCAAATCACATCAGGTGTATTTACTCATTGTCAGTGGGTTACTTACACTGTAAGAAATGTTTGGATTTTGTTTTTTGTGGCTGGGGGAAAATGCGTGCACCCCAAAATTACTGAAATATGTAAATGTGAATGGAGCCATAGCAGTGTTTATATAGGGTCAGTTCCTTACCTTGCTAATAATTGCCCACAGATGTTCTGATAGTCCTTTCACACATGTTTGCAAATGAAGTTCTGTAAATAGATTTCTCTGTTTAAAGCCTGTTTGAAGTCCCAGTGTTGGATATGCTTCATTGCACAACTTCTGTGATTAGACAGAGTATTACGTTTTTTCATAAATGCTGTATGTATTTTTATTCCTTAATTAAATTATAGCAATACATTATTGGCCCTGGCAAAGCAGAGTAAAGCTCTTGGTGCATATAAATTGGCTCGTCATGCCTATGACAAGCTGCAGGGACTGCAGATCCCAGACAGGTTCCAGAAATCTGTTGAGCTGGGCAGCCTGACAATCCGATCCAAGCCATTCCATGACAGTGAAGTAAGCTGTAATGTGTTTCATGTTAATCATTAATATGTGGCCTAATCCTAGAATATGAGTTCCTGTGTGCACAAAACAATCTGAAATATATTATGCATGGCTCTGTGATATAATTGTATTTCTGCTGGAAACACAGTCCTTTTATTGTTATTCTTTGAGTCAGACTTCCTTCTGCTCCTGAGAGCAAATTAAAATCAGCCCTCTCTTTGTGGGCAGCTTCCATCCTCCCTCTCCTCTCTTGCAGTCACCTTCCTCACTATTAATTCTTCCAAGCCCTTTTCTCCCCAGTTCACATGCTATTGTTCTGCAGTCTTTGTCTCTCTCTCCAGCTGGAGGTCACTTTCATTTGTCCCACTCCTAACACTCTTCCCCTCCTCCCTCCATCCCTTCGGTGACCTTCCTTCCGTAAATCTTATTTTAACACCTTTTCTTCTTTCACTGAAGTCTGGCCTTCTGCAGTGTTCTATAAAGCCATGTCTCAGGGAGTACTCACTAAAAATAAATTGCATTGTACCAGTGAACATATACCTGGCCTCCTGAAATAATAGAAACACACCCTTTAAGAACTGCCTAAAATAACTCTGCTCTTGAAAAGAGATTAATTAATTGGAAAACCTAAATTTGACCAAATCTTAGAGAAAAAACTTTGCTTCAGTAAACTTCTCTTCAACTTCTTTTATCCCTGTGTATTTGATACAGAATTGTGCTCCTGTTACTGCAAAAGCCAGGTGAAAATCTAATTGTTAAAGTGGTGAAGACAGCTATTTTCAATGGGAAAACTTGCTGTTTGTTAAAAAGGGGAAGCCTGTTCAGATGTTGAAGGGCCTGATTTCACAGCAGAGCTCCTCCAGACCGGCGCTGGTGCTGTGCCGGTGTTGCCAGCCGAAGGGGCCCGTAGTTAACTGGAAACAAGGAGCTGGGCATGTGCTGCTCTGTGGTTACCACGCTCTCAATCTGTCTTTGCAGGAGCTCGTGCCCCTGTGTTACAGGTGCTCCACCAACAACCCCTTGCTGAATAACCTGGGCAACGTCTGCATTAACTGCAGGCAGCCTTTCGTCTTCTCGGCCTCCTCCTACGGTGCGTGGGTTTGCAAGCAGATAAATGTTAACAGAGTAGGTCAGTGCCTGATCCCTTCTTCCTGCAGTGCTGTTTGGACAAACAAATGTTCTTTTACTGTTGTTACATTTGACTAAGTGGGGGTTGGTGGCTCTCGCTGCAGAGCAGCAGCGCAGCATCCTTGCACTGCCAGACACCAAAATGCATCTAGTGCTCTCTGAAGGTGAACACAACCCTTTCAGAAGTTTGGGAGGTTTGCTTTGCTGCAATTTTATTTTATTTAGCTTGTTTCATGAGAGAAGGTGGGCAGAGCACTACTGACATGAAGGAGCACAGGATCTGCTATGAGGCATTTCCTGAGTTCCTGCAGGTCAAACACTTCCTGCCTTTCCCACCTTTTAGAGGTGCTGCATCTGGTTGAGTTCTATTTGGAAGATGGCATCACGGATGAAGAAGCTGTAGCTCTCATTGATCTTGAAGCTCCAAGAGTGAGTAAAAGAGAGAATAAATGGCAAGAGATGATGACTGACAGTATCCTTTTGATTAGAATTGGTTTCCTTTTCTTAGGGAAAATTAAACAATTCAGAGTTTATTTTTTCCCCTTACGTTTAAACCTTTCTGTCATAGGACTGATGTAAGTACAATTCCATCTTGTTTCTTTGTTGTGTTAGTATAACAACAAAAATATGGTTCAACTGAACCTAATATTGTCAAGACACTTTTCCATTAGGAGAGTTTATTTATAATCCTGGCAATGTTTGTTTTTAACAGTGGAATGCCATGCTTTACCTATTCTGTGTGGACTGTTTTCTGACAAGGATGAAGGGAATCTGGAGTGTGTTGCTTCCAATAGCAGCTTCTTTTAGAGGCTGCCTTCTCCTAGCCAAGGGAAGTAGCACTTCACTACTGTTCCTGTTGAGATCTGGTTTGGAATGCTTTGGCATCCAGAGCTCCCAGTTGCTGTCAGGGTTATAGAATATGAGATGTAGAGTAATGCACAAGAACACACAAACTCTGACTAAAGCTGCCCAAAAATGTAACTTCAGTAGATTGCTTCCTTTGCTCTGTCATCTGTGGAAGGGTAAGAGCTGATGTCATGCCTGGCTGTGGTCAGTCTGTTCTGGCTGTTCTGCAGCAGCTGCAGTGATAAACTTCCCCAGTCACTGGAAACCCCAGCAAGGCCTTCTTGGTACTTTTTGTAATGGTCTGGGGACTGCCACAGTTTGGGATACTCTGAAGCAGCAAGGGTCCTGCTGGGGTGCTCTCTCTCTGATTCTGTCAGTGCTGGCTATGGTAAGCAGAGCCAGTTTTACAGGAATTCTTGTGCTTCCTTAAGACATGCATCCAGATGTTCAGAGTTTGAAGCTTGATGACAGTACAGATATTATTGAGGATGATGATCCCTTTACAGCAAAACTGAGCTTTGAGGTAAGAACTGTACCTGTGTCTACCAGCACAACATTTTTAATAGAATTTTTCTAAATAGAATTTTTTAAAATAGAAATTTTATTTTAATAGAAAATTTTTACTTTACAAAGTCACTCTTCTGGTGTGTATGTGGTACAAAGAGAGCTGCAGAGCAGGGAACTGGGAGGGGGATGGCACTTGAGAGGGAAATGGACTAACCAGTTAACTCCTCCCTTAAGAATACAAACAAAACCCCTCAAAACAAACAAACAAACACAAACCTCACAGAGCAAGAGTGATTTCAAACCAAGCCCTCCTGGAATTTGGTTTGCTCACCGTGCTGGTGCAGCAGCAGCCCCGCCGCAGGGCAGGCCTTTCTGCAGGCTTTCAGGGCCTGTGAGCGGCTGTTCTTTGGGAGGGGTTGTGCTGGGATAGGGGAGGACGCTGGGAGCCCGTGTGGCTGGGTGCTGCTCTGCTGGAGCTTTTGCTAAAACTGACGGGGGTTTCGGGGGGACGGGGCTTGGGCCGGGTCGGGGTCAGCCTCTCCTGCTGTTGGAGCAGAGCTGGGCCGCGGCGCGTGACGCGGCGCCGCTCTGTGCAGCAGGGAGGCTCGGCCTTCGTGCCGCTGGTGCTGGGCCGCGCCGCGCTGCGCGCCATGAGCCGCAGGGACGTGCTGATCAAGCGCTGGCCGCGGCCGCTGCGCTGGCAGTACTACCGCTCGCTGCTGCCCGACGCCTCCGTCACCGTGTGCCCGTCCTGCTTCCAGGTATGCCGCGCGGGGGGCTGCCGGGGCCCGCCGGGTGAAACGGGGCGAGCCACTGGAGCCCCGTGCTCCGGAACGCGCTCGGCACATTCCCGATGAGCTGGCGGCAGGGCGGTGAAGCCCCGGCTCCGAGCGGGGTGGTAGACAGGGGAACAGCTGTCCTGGAAGACCTGGCCGTAGCTCAGTTTGGGAAGTTGCCCTGACAGCAAGTCAGAACCTCTTGAGCCAGCCGTGGCTGACAACAGAAGCTGATTTGTGTTTATTTCCTTTTGCTCTGTCTCTGACTTGCAGCCTGGCCTAGCAAGGAAAGCCAGTCAGTGACTGTTGCCTTGTGGTTCAGTCCTGCTCCTGCCTTGCTCAGAAATGACTTTTTGAAATGCTGGAATTCAGTCATGTTTGCTTACTGGCTGCCTAATTGTCCATCCTTTTGCAAAAGTGGTTAGCAGGTTTGTGCCCTCTCAGCCGCTCTGGCAGAGGTCTGGGAAGTGCTTGTTGCTGTGTTCCAGGCTGTAGCGTCCCAGGTGATTGAAACCAAGAGGCCCAACTCCCTGTGCTGGTAGTTCCAGAGTGTCTGTGCTATTGAGCTACCGTTGAACTCAGTTTGCATTTTCTTTGAGCAGGGTACAGGCTAACTTGTTTTAAATCTGTTCCTAATTAACAGATGTTTCACACAGAAGACTATGAGCTCCTCATACTCCAGCATAATTGTTGTCCATTCTGTCGGCGGAGAATAGATGAGTCAAACCAATGACAATGAAGAAAACCAGTCTTTTACCTCAACAACAGACTCCCCTGTTGGCTTGGCAGAACCCTTCTTAGATCTGTAGAGCTTTCCTAATAACTTAGTTACATCATCTAGTTCCATTTTGTATGTAAGAGTGCAACCAAGTTGAAAAATTGTAACTATTTTTTTAAATTAAAACGTCTGTTTTTTGTGACTGTGCTCTGCATTTTCCAGGCAAGCAGCTGAAGTGCCACAGAATTTTACAGGAACATTTCTAGAATCAAGTTCAGCCTTCAAGTAATTGGTTTTACTCCAGATTGTGCTCCTTAACACACACCAGTTATTGACAGATCTTCAAATAAATGGGACTATTTTTCGCTATTTATTGTCTCAGAATTTGCTGTAATACTCCTGCTTCTGATCGGAAATTTTTTCCTTTTCCTATTCCATTTAGATAAGAACAGCATTTAGAGCCCTTTAAATATAATCTGAAGAGCTCCAGTACTCTTGGCACTGGGGGCATCTCAGAGCCACCGTGGGGCAGGTGGTGGCTGGCTCTGTGTGGAGCTCACCTGGCTGAAGTGCAGCAGGTGAGGCTGTGCACCCTGAGCTCCGTGCTGAGCACGGAGGCTGTGCCAAGGGGTGCTGCTGAGCAGGGTGTCCCCAGCACCGTGCCGCTCCTGAGCCCAGCGCCAGCTCACAGAGCGTGTGGCAGGAGGCAGAGCTGCTGCTCTCTGCTGCAGCCGCTTGTGGAGGCCTGAGACACGGGGGGCATCAGTCCCAGGCAGCACCTGAGCCCTGCAATGGCTCGCTCTGCCTGCAGGACTGAGCAGGAAATAGGAGAGCAAAGGCCAAGAAACTCCTGTGTTGAGATACAGACAGTTTAATAGCTGCAGCGCAGCTCTGCGTGCAAGCAAAGCAGAGCAAGAAGGAATTGATTCCCTGCTTCCTGGAGAGCAGGGCTCAGCATCGGTAACTGTCACTTGGGAAGGCAAACACCACAAGCACAACATCCTCCTTCCTCCCCCTTTCCCTGAGCTTTTGTTTTGGAGCACAACATCATCTGGAGCGGCGCACGCCTTTGGCCAGCTGTCCCGGCCCGTGGCTGTGTTCCCAGCCCTGCCCTGCCGTGGCCGAGGGGGACAGGGCGGGCAGCACGGATCCCGCAGGGCTCTGCCCCGGTGTGTTCCCGGCTCCAGCAGCAGCAAGAGCACACAGGTAACCAGCTTGGCTGCAGCTGGGACGTGGTGCATCTCTTGACTTTAATCCAGGATCAGCTGTGCCGAGGTGCCGTGAGTTGAGTTGTGACGGCAGCCTGTCCGTTCCAGCCTGCCTTACCCCGAGTGGGAAAGGACGCGAGCAGCCGGCTGAGGTGCCGTGAGTTGAGTTGTGACGGCAGCCTGTCCGTTCCAGCCTGCCTTTACTGAGTGGGAAAGGACGCGAGCAGCCGGCCGAGGTGGCCGGTGCGGGCAGGGCAGCTCCCTCGGGAGCAGCGCTTTGCACGTGATACGGGATGTCTGTCTGCTCCAGTTCCTCTGGAAAAGGAGACCCTGCAGTCACTGCCGAGTTTCCGAGTCCCTCAGTGGTTCCTGACCAAGTTTGCTTGATTTACCACTTTAAAAACATTCTGTTCTAATTACAGCTCGTCTGCTTTCTGACTCAGCTGTCACTGTTTGCAGTGAAGACTCTGCTATTGACATGGATAAACAATGCTGTTTGAGATGGGAGCCAGGGTGGAATTTAGTTCCTTCTGGAACTGAGCTGGCTGTGCAGAGCCAGTGGGAGTGAAAAATTATAAAACTGAAGAGAAAGGGTTTGCTGTGACACAAAGACAAAATGGACCAAGACAAAATGGACCAATGTTTTTTTTTTAACAGCTCTGTGAATATAGTCTAGCTTTGAAAAGTGTTTTGGGTTTTTCTGGGCAGAAGCACTCTGCATGTTTCATACGTACATGGTGAAGGGTTCTAGTCCAGGCTGCCCTGTGCCATGGAGCCCACCAGCTGGCTTCATGCCGAGGAGTCCCTGGAGGTACAAGAGGTCCCAGCACGGCACTTTGGTTGGAAATTGTGGGTGATTTGCCTGTTCCTCCATCCCTCAGCTGCCTGCCTGTGCCACTGCTGCATCCAGTGGTGACGCACGCCAGCCCTAAGCTCTGCAGAGCAGCTGCTACCTCAGCAGTGGCTTATTGCATCAGCTTAAAGTGTTTTAGGAAATAAACCTTTAATCCCTGTGTGCCCAGGTAGAAGTGTAAAGAGCTGCATTTGCAGTTAGAAAGTGGCACTGCTCTGGCCTTGGAAACAAGTGTGAGAAATTAAGTGAGAGGGGCTTAGGGTGAACAGAGTGTGTGTGAGGACCTGGTGTTTTCGTGTTAAGGTGAAGGAAGACCTTTGGGACTGACCAGAGACTGGGCCTGCATTGGCTGCCAGCAAGGTCTGCCCTAGTCCATGGTGCCAGCACTTCAGCTCCTTCCACCTTCCCCACTTAGAGGGCAGGTTTCCCAGCTTGGTCTCTGCTCTAAGGAGAGTACAGTGCTTTGTGCTTTTTTCCATTAAACTTATTTCTGAACTAGCTTACAAAGAACATTGGTGAAAACTAGGCCAGGACTGGAGGAAGTTTATTAGGGCCAAGAGGACATGAACTTCTGCCCACCTTACACCCATGAGCTCCAGCAGCTCTGGTACATCCTCCTGTACTGGACGAGGCCCCCGTGTTCCCCTGCTCCTGCTGTGAGGAATGCTCAGCTCAGCCCTCAGTGCAGACAAAACAGCAAGGGGAGGTGGGTGTTCAGCTCCCTTCCAGCCTCTGTCACCTACAAAGGGGCAGATCAAAGTCTCTCTTTGTGCTCGCCTCCTGTACGTTCTGTCCCACTGCCTCTGAAAAATTAAGATAACTCAGCTGTGTAACTCAGCTTCTGGTTGGCACAAGGAATGTTTCAAGCACAACTGAGTGCACAGAGTGGTGAGACAGAGAGACAGAGGGCACAGAAGGCTCCAACAACAGCCTTCCCTGTGGAGTTTGGTAATTATGCGAGGTTTGAGAAGAGTGAGGTTGTCTGTCAACCAGTATATGAAGCTGAGTGCTGGCTTCAGTTCTGAACATCCCATCAGTGCCCTGGTCCAGCAGCCTTCTCAGCACCATTGCAGAATGATTCCAGTCCAGGACAGATGGACTAGGTAATTTATTAGCTGTTACCAATGCAGTTGGCACGACCCAAATGGGATACAAAGGCACAGAGGGGATGGCACAACCTGCAAGTGGGCCAAGTGTTTCATGCTGGTGAAACAGCCAGATCCTGAGTAGAGAGGTGGCTGGAGCCTGTGGAGGAAGGCTTGGTCATGCTGCCTTCTGCAGCCTGCCACAGGGACTGGCAGTATGTGGGGATGGTTCTCCAGTGGGGACTGGCTGGTCTCACAGATCCAGTTCCCCTTGTGAGAGTGGGGCTGGGACACCTCTGCCACTGAGGGACCACACCACGCCTGCTCAGCCAGGCCACCATTTGCAGCCCCCAAACCCACAGTCCTGGGGTGTGAACCACACATGTCCCTCCTGTTAGTGGGGAAGGGAAAGGAAGAGCTCCTGTGCAAGGGAGCTGCTGCCTGGTTTGAGCCCTTCCAAATGAATGGTGTGCAGAGCTACCTCTTTATATATGTGACCATGAGCCGTGGTCTCCAACAATGACAGTGCTGGGCAGAAACTGGTGTCACCTTAACACCTTCCCAGAAAAGCCAATTACCCTGGGATGATTATGATTAATAATTCTCTAAACCCTAATTGTGCTGACACCAGTGCCTGGAGCTTACCCCAGGGGCACTTTATAAGAGGTGCCCTGTGGAGGAGAGTGTCTCCTTGGGGCGACAGTGAGGGCTGAGACGTGGCAGGAGTTCCATTCCAGAGGCAGTTTTCCCCTTGCACAAAAGAACTCCCAGAGTAAGAGCAAAAAGCGCCTCACAAACTGCAGCCATGAACGGGACAGAAGGCCAAGACTTCTACGTGCCCATGTCCAACAAGACCGGGGTGGTGCGGAGCCCCTTCGAGTACCCCCAGTACTACCTGGCTGAGCCTTGGAAGTTCTCGGCGCTGGCTGCCTACATGTTCATGTTGATTCTGCTCGGCTTCCCCATCAACTTCCTCACGCTGTACGTCACCATCCAGCACAAGAAGCTCCGCACACCTCTAAACTACATCCTCCTGAACCTGGCCGTGGCCGACCTCTTCATGGTGTTCGGGGGCTTCACAACCACGATGTACACCTCCATGAACGGGTACTTTGTCTTTGGAGTAACAGGGTGCTACATTGAAGGCTTCTTTGCCACTCTGGGCGGTAAGTTTTCCAAATATTCAAATGTCTTCTGTCAGAAATTTCCCCGGATTTTAGTATGGGAGGGAAAACACAGATGATCTTGGAAAAACATGGTGCCTGTAATGTCCTTGACCTGCTGCTGTTGTGGACTGAGGGCATTTGCCCTGTTTCTGGGTAGGAGCTGAAGAAAGTGACAAGTGACACTTTTAAAAAAACCCTTTCTTTTGAGAGCCACCTGCTCAGCATCCTGAGAACCACAGTGCAGCAATGGAAACCAGCCAATACCAGATCTTGCAGTTGTTGGATTTGTGCATCTCCTTGGCTCACTTTCTGACTCAAGAGATGACAATTTTGTTCCTCCTATTTTGCAGGGCTGAATCTGCCATTGGCTCTGGTGTGGTGCATGGTGGTACAGGCAAGCAGAGCTGGCTCTCCTCCCCATGCCAGCCTGGTATGGAACCAAAGAGATGTGAAACAGAAATTGTGTGTCTAAAAATGTCCTCCTCCATTTGTCTCAGCCTTCAGCCACTGCTACTGTTTTAGTGATTTGGTCCTTGTGGCACAAGTTGCCTGGGAAGCTGTGGGTAGTGAGGGGAAGTCCTGGGATGATGGGCACTTGCTGCACATCAGATGTGACCACAGGCTTGCAGGTGCAGATGCTGTCTGGGATGAATGGTGGGATCAGCCTTGAATCTCAAAACACTGCAGCAAAGTGGTTCCTGTGGGTCAGCAGTACAGTGAGAAGGGGTCTTCTCACACTGTCCTACCACATCTGCCCTTGAGCATTCTTCATTTATCTTTCTGAACCCTTGACAGAGATTAAGCTTCTGCCAGGGGTTGTTCTCAGGAACATCAGTCTGAGGAGGCCTCATGCTGCCATCAGGGTGGTTTCTTTTCCTGCTCAAAGTGCCTGTGTCCCTTTCTGTCCCTCTCCCTGGTGCAGGTGAAATTGCTCTCTGGTCACTGGTGGTCCTGGCTATCGAAAGATACGTAGTGGTCTGCAAGCCCATGAGCAACTTCCGCTTCGGGGAGAACCATGCCATCATGGGTGTTGCCTTCTCCTGGATC